GGGTCTGAAGTTGATCTTCTCATCTAACTCTTGGCAAGAAAGAAAATAACTGCATTTGTCAAAATGTCTTAAGTTTTCCTTTTAATCACTGGTGTGTACGAATTAAGAAAAAACATTATCTCGTGTATACAAATCCCTGCAGCAGATTGGAGTGTAGCGGAGGAACACATGTTTTTTTTTTTTTTCTTTCTTATGAATATTTGATGATGTGGACAGCTTGCTCAGCGAAAGTAACGACGCTGATTTGAGCTGAAAAGCTTGGCCTGAAACTAAAATGTTCCATGCTGGTGTGAGATATACAAGCAGCAGCTACAGCAGATTAGCTGTTTACTAAAGTCTGTAGTCATATTCAGTATAGCCCTATCATAATAAATAATAAAACATGGAGTCCTCCCACATTCTGTTCATCTGTATCTGACACACTTTGCAAATGTCTTGTTTTGACTTTCATCAGCAGGCTCCGGAGGAACAAAAGGAAGAAGCTGCGATAAAAAAGGAGCCCGAAGAAGTGAAGGAGGAGGAGGCAGAGAAAAAGGAGGAAGAAGCAGCAGAACAGGAGAAAGAAGCCAAAGGAAAAGAGAAGAAGGGGGAGGAGGTGAAGGAGGAGGAGGAGGCGAAGAAGGAGAAGCCTGTGAAAGAAAAGAAGACGGAGAAGAAGTCAGAAGAGGCTAAAGGCCCCAAACGTCCGAAAACCATGCAGTGCAAAGTCACCTTACTGGACGACACTCAGTTTGAGTGTGAGCTTGATGTAAGAGACCTCACACGTTACAGCACGTTGTCTTGTGTTTGTGTGTTGGTTATGAAGACTGAAGAGTATCCCTCTCCCTCTGTCTGCTTTTCTCTCTCATGTAGAAACATGCTAAAGTCCAAGACCTTCTCACAAAGGTGTGCGACCACGTCAACCTGCTGGAGAGAGATTACTTTGGCCTCTCTACCTGTGAAACCCCAGCCAGCAAGGTAGGCCGCTTTTTCCTCTGCTGTAGTTTTAGTCGCTCTGCGAGAGCAAAGCGACATTTTTTACATGACACTTGAAAATGGCTGTGAGCAGTTGTTCATTTTATTTCCCCCCCAAAATGTCTGCAGACATGGTTTGAATCCACCAAAGAGATCAGGAAACAGGTCTCAGGTGCTGTTTATGAGTTTGCGTTCAGCGTGAAGTTCTACCCTCCGGATCCAGCACAGCTTACCGAAGACCTCACCAGGTGAATGTCTCCAGTGTTCAATGAACCGTTCCTCATTTTGGGAAATCTGCTTATTCTCTTGAGATATAACATGTCATTAAGTGAGCTTTGGAGGTGCTGGTTTGCACATTTTAACACCTTGGACAGAGCCAGGCTAGCCGTTTCCATCTGCGTCCAGTGTTTATGCTAAGCTAAGCGCCTGTTGGAATTGGCTTCATATAGAATATATATATATAAGAGTGGTTTCCACTGTCTCCTCTAACTCTCAAACGTGTATGTCACCACAGCAGAATCTTTTATCATGAAAACGTCTCTATAAGTGAGCTTATTTTTCTTCTTTCACATGTTCTTTAGGTACTTTCTGTGCCTTCAGCTGAGGAAGGACATTATGCAAGGCATCCTTCCCTGTTCCTTTGTCACACTGTCCCTGCTGGGCTCCTACACAGCCCAGTCGGAGCTCGGAGAGTACGACCCAGAGGTCCACGGGACAGATTATGTTAAGGATCTGAGCCTGGCCCCGGGACAGAGCAAAGAGCTGGAGGAAAAGGTGATGGAGCTGCACCGCACGTACAGGTAATCGAAGGGGGGATGGGCATCGATCGTAGCTACAGAGTGATGTTTTGACAAAAGTTCTCTTTAAGTTTGAGAGAGCACAATTCAGCAGACCCGAACTGTGAAGGATCTCTGCATCTTCAGCGCTTATATAACTGGATGATTTGACAGGTCCTTAGAATAACGATGACAATAGAACTTCTATTTGAAAAGACCCTTTTCATCTGTGTTTTTTCCAGGTCAATGAATCCAGCCCAGGCAGACATTATGTTTCTGGAAAATGCCAAGAAACTTGCCATGTATGGAGTTGACCTGCACCGAGCCAAGGTAGGTTTTTTTGTTTGAGTTTTGTTACCAGTTTAGATTAGTGTTGTGTGGGTAAACTGATGGCGCAAGGTTTTCATGGGAATTCTAATGTTCAAGGATTTACCGACTCCCTCTGTGTCATTTTACCATAGCATGCTTTTATTACATCAGTTGCATCCAGATTTTAATTACAGAATTGATGTCAGCCCCCTTTCAGAAAAAATAGGAGAGATTAATGCCATTTCAAAATCCTTGACCTCAACTCCCTGTCCTCTGTGGTGTGAGGAAGTCTGCCTCCCAGTGACCGGTCGCTGGAAGTACAGGGTGATGGCGATGGCATGCAGTGATGCAATATCATAACGTTTCATCCTGTTTCTACGCATGCAGGATCTTGACGGTGTGGACATCACACTGGGGGTTTGCTCTGGTGGTCTGATGGTCTACAAGGACAAGCTGAGGATCAACCGCTTCCCTTGGCCAAAGGTGCTGAAGATCTCTTACAAACGCAGCAGCTTCTTCATCAAAATCAGGCCGTCAGAGGTAAATCTCAATTCACATTTTCCATTCAGTTTTTTAAAATATATTTGTGTATTTTGTGTAGTAAATAGATTGCTCTTCTTTCTACCGCATGAAAACCACCAATATTTGATTCTCGGTTATTCTGTAGCTGTTCTTATAGTAAATATTTCATAAATAAGGTTTCTAATATATACATTTAAGAGATTGTCTTTTAGAATTGACATGATTTACAATACGTTCATTTTATGAAGCTCTGTATGTCATACTGCATGACAGAATAATGTCAACATACGGTCATTATATTTGACTTTGACTTTTTGTTTTTTCACTTACAGCAAGAGCAGTATGAAAGCACAATCGGCTTTAAACTGCCAAACTACAAAGCATCAAAGAAGCTGTGGAAAGTTTGCGTTGAACACCATACCTTCTTCAGGTAACAAGTCATCTGAATGGCACTTCTCTGCCCAGCAACGGAGGTCATGTTGCGGCTCTGCCTGTCCTCTAGATAATTGGTTAACTGGTCTCTGCAGCTTAAGCCTTATATTGGCTCCCTGGCAGTTTGACCACAGAGGGAAAGCTGGATACCTATAGTCTTGACCTTAGAATTAAACCTCAAAGGTTTTGTCTACTTAATGAGATAAAGGTTGATGTTGTTGCTAACCTTGTTGCATAACAATGAAAACTTTTAGGGATTGCCAAATCCTTTAATTTGAAATGATGTAATGTTTGAACTCCTGTCACGTGGGTCTAGATCTGAGTGTGTTTAATGTTGGCTGGATGAGAAAATAAGAAACATTTTTTTTCCCGCAGAGTTCCAACAGTGGAGCCCCCCTCATCACGTCGCTTCCTCGTCTTGGGCTCCAAGTTCCGGTACAGCGGACGTACGCAGGCCCAGACCCGCCAGGCCAGCTCCTTGATTGACCGTCCAGCCCCTCGCTTCACACGCTCTGCGAGCAAGAGGCTGTCCCGTAACCTAGATGGAGGTATGTGCAAGAGTGTGAGCCCCATGTTTGGAATCGTTATATCAAAGCACAGGTTTGATAAGCTACTCTCTGACGTGTTTCGCCCTTGCAGCTGGAGATGAAACTCTCCAGTTCCTGCAACGACTCTCGGCATCAACCAGGTGTGAGGTTGATGATTGGTCGCTGATGCTGTCATCTGACAAACCCCGGTCTTCTCCTGAATTCCCAGGTACCAGGAACTGTGTGGAGCCGCAGCAGCGCTTTCTGACATATTTGCAGCATTTCTTAAATTCTCGCTTACAGTCGGCTTTATCGCATCATTTAACACGCTCGTCCGTTCTGGCTAATTTGCTTTTATGCCTGTGGTCGTTACGAAAACATTGCCTGTTACCTGCAGCACAGATGTTTAACTTGTCAGAACACTGACCGTACTCTGACATGTGGGTAATGTCACCCACCTTCTATCACCGGGGTGACTATGGTCACTCTGAAGGAAATAAGGCGTTTCCTCACACGCTTAATTACACACGGGCATTTCCAGTCTTGAAGCTGCTGTTCCTCATTTTTTTTTGGGCAATTTCAGAAGTTGCCGCTCGATGTGCGTTGCACAATGGCTTTCATTTGCTTGCAACTTGTACCTTTTATGTTCAACATCTTAACTGACCGACTCACTCGTCACTGCTCCAGTGGTTACTTTAAACATTGAAAAGTAACTACAAGTTTTGCCCTTTTTCATCTGCTCGTGTTGTAAAGGATGAGAGGCATCTTTTATTCGGCTTTGTTCTAACTGCAGCTTACTGGACTCACAAATGCTTTGGCATCTGGCTTGGTCAGAAACGTGCTTGAAGCACTATGAAGCATTCACAGTGGCTGTCATTGCTCCAGCAGAAGCGTTGCATAACTGCCATCACCTCGTCATCTCTTCACAGCCACAGGGGACTCTGGGCAGACTTTCATTGAGTCCTGGGAGGAAGGGCAGTCTGTTCACGCAGTCACAGTAACCCGGCAGGACAATGAGACCGGGCAGACTGGCTCTCAAACCGTCACCCAAACGGTCAGTCAGCCTTGGCAGGAGCTGCCATCTGATGAGCAACAGCAGAGGAGAAAGGAGGATGAGTGGTCTGCACTGCTCCAACGGCATCCTCCTTTTCCCTTTGTTGCACCTTTTGACTTTGTGAAACAGACAGGTATTTGCACTTTCAATGCCTGATAATGGTCATTTCGCAGTTTGCGAAAAGGAATCTTAATCTTTCACTGAAGCTTTGATTTTTAAAGAACACACATCAACATTTTGTGACCTCCTATCACGTGGTGCTATTCAGCATTTTGCAGTGTGAGATTTGTGTGTGTTTGCCCGTCCGGTATATAATGTTCAGTATTGTTTCTCTGATGTTGTCAGCGAAGCTCAGCTTGGCAAAAATGATCTCTATGGAGCGCCTATTGCAACCAACTCGGACACAGCAAGATGATTGGTTCCTTTACTTTGACCGAATCTTCAGCCTCTCCTCACTCGAGCGTGTTGACAAACCATGTGAGTTTCAGAATTAGAATACTGATGGTACAAACCCTTTAACAGTCTGCAATATGAATCACGTTTTAGTTCCTTTCGTGGTCATTGTTCCCCTTTTTACTCCTACCAGTGTCCCTCCTAGCTCAGCTCCAGCTCCAGCAGGAGGACGAGCAGGGCATGCGTGTGGCAGAGCAGAAACTGACCATTGAGAGGCTGCAGGAAACTCTGATCTCTGACGAGCTGGCAGAGATGGATGTTTTGGAAAGGAGGCTGAGAGAAGTTAGGGATTTAGAGGGTAGGCTCCTGGAAATGGATGAGAGGGCAGAGCGACTTCAGGAAGTAATAGAAGACGAATTGGGTAAGGAAGAGGTAGATCGGTTAAGAGAGGAAGAGGGCGATTTTGAGCAGGAGAAACAAGTTGAAGGTATAACAGAAACACACTTGAGGAAATCTGTGAGGACAACGGAGACTAAAGAGGAGGGAGTGGATGAATTAGAAGAGCAGATAAAGCAGGTGTTTTTAAAAGGCTTGTTACCTGAAGAAGAAGAAGAAGAAGAAGGGGCCGAGATGAAGCAGGAGAGGGAAAAAGAAGTGACGGACGAGAGTCTGTCCGATGACCGCTTGAGAGGGAAGCTAAAGGAATGGAGAGACGAGGTAGAGGAGAAGTTGAAGTCTGGATCTTCAGATGTCACCAGTACCACTTGTGTAGTAGCACACCAGAAGGTGCAGCGCAGGACTAAGAAAAGAGTTACTATTGTAGACGAGAGAGGGCCGACGCAGGCAGAAATGGAGGGTGTGCAGGTACAGCATGGTGTCGTTTTAGTGGAGAGGCTAGAAAAAGAGAGGACGAGGCTTCAGACGCAGATACTGGAGGAGATAACTGAGGGAGAAGGTACAGAGAGGCTTCAGGCTGAGCATCGAGCTCAGCTGGCAGATAAGGATATCTGGTTCATACTTTTGGACCGCCCTCCATACAAAGCTGTTCTCCAACCACCAGGTACAGTATGTGAAAATGCAAACCGCTTTAGACCTCTACTAATCGCTCTAAGACTTACCTTCGCCAATAGATTTGTGTGTACTGTTTTACATACATCATATAAATATCATCCATAGAGTTCAGCCTAAACAGAACATTCCTCTTAAGCCTTCCTCACAGCCAATGAGTTCAACATTAACATATTAACCAACAAGCTTTCCTGAAATTGTACTTGCTATGAGATGTTTTTGTGATGATTGAGTGGATTTGTGGCTTTTGTAATATCTTTACGTTGGAAATAGTTCTTGCCGGTGAGAATAACCTCACCACACGCTGTCCTGCTTCTTTTACTGTCGGCTTTTTTGGCGCTGCATGTTTGCTCCCATGTTCAAAGACTCTGTGTCTTCACTGTCACCTGTAGTTGCTACTGTGGAACGTGCTCAGGTAGATGAAGGCGAGTATCTCACCTCCCAGACTGAGATTACAACATATGAGGAGAGAACAATGAGAGAAGAAGAAGTTTGGCGTATACCAGAGATCCCACCACCACAGACCGTCATGGAAAGAGATGATGACTGGTTTGTGTTGCTGGATGTTGTTCCAAGAGAAACGCCTTATATACCACCAGGTACTGCTCAAACTTTGTCTCTCTTGCTCGCTAATATACAAGAAGTGTGTATTACTGTAAAAAGACTTTCTCCTGCTTTTACTCACATCAGTTACCTTGAAGGGAGGAGAACAGCTGGGTGCAGAAGGTTTTGTCTTTGTGGCTGGAACTGCAACCGAGGAGGATGTTAGAGAAGTAGTAGCTGAGGAGACAAAGATAGTAGAAGAAGCACCGAGACATCGACAAGAGATGCCACAGCAGCCACTGCCTGACAGGGATGATGACTGGTTTGTGTTGCTGGATGTTGTTCCCAGAGAAACACCTTATGTACCACCAGGTACTGCTCAAATCCCCCGTGTTGCTTTTCAAAACGTTGGCTCTCTTGTGCTTTATTTTCTGCTTGCTCGCTAATATACAGGAAGTGCGTATTGCTGCTTCTGTTAAAAGACATTCTCTCGACTTTACTCACGCCAGTTACCTTGAAGGGAAGAGACCGGCTGGGTGCAGAAAGTTGTGTCCCTGTGGCTGGAACTGCAACCGAGGAGGACGTTGGAGAAGTAGTAGCTGAGGAGACAAAGTTAAGAGAAGAGGAGCCAAGACATCTACAAGAGATGCCGCAGCAGCCACTGCCTGACAGGGATGATGACTGGTTTGTGTTGCTGGATGTTGATCCCAGAGAAACAGCATATGTACCACCAGGTACTGCTCAAATCCCAAATTATCAAAGCAATCATCCTGAGCTTTGTGGATGCTCTTATTCTGAAATCCCCATTACTGTCAATAGTGTTTGAGGATTTTTATCTCTTTTTTTTTTGTCTCAGTTGCTGTTGCGGAGCGTGTTGAAGTGTCCCAAGAAGAACTTGTCTCTCTAGTTAGAATAGCAGCCGATGAGGAGGGAGAAAAAAGAGTGGAGAGTATGGCAGCAGACACAGAAATAAAACGAGTGCTGAGTGAAGTTGTAGCACTGCCGCAGGCTGCGAGAGAGATAGAAGATGACTGGTTCGTGCTGCTGGATGTTCCCACTAGAGAACCGTCATATGTGCCACCAGGTATTGTCGCCTTTCCCTCCGGGCCCATCACAACGACTTACAAGCGTATTATAAGTGTCTTAATGCTCATTCATTCTGTTTGTCATTAGTTACCATGGCAGAGTATGTTCAAGTGTATCCTGAAGAAAGCACATCTACTGTGGCTGAAACAATAACCGTAGAGTCCAGGGAGGAGGTCGTAGGTGAAGAGATTGTGGTGCAGAAAGACGACAGAGGACAGCAGGGAATGTCCCAGCCAGTCAGAGAAAGAGACGATGACTGGTGTCTTCTACTGGAGGTTGTTCCCAGAGAAACTGCCTTTGTACCTCCAGGTACCCACAGCCTTTAAGTCTTCCTTTGGTAACTGTATAAAATATGATGTCTCTGTTAGATTCTTCCTTTTTGGCTGAAGTTTGAGTATAAATCCTGTTTTGCTCTCAGTTTCTCTGGCAGTACCGAGCCTAACTTATCCAAGCGTTCAACCTCCGCAAATGGAAGTGATGAGCCTAGAGCGGAGGTTGCAGCAGGTTGATCTTGAACAGATTAGACTGCAGCCTTCTCGGCCAGAGAGAGATGATGACTGGTTTGTGCTGTTTGATGCTGTTCGTGAAAAGCCAGCTGTACTACCATCAGGTATATGTAATATAATATGTCACACCAGAATTTACTCTGAAATATTATATTCAAAGACAATTTCTGCAGCGTTTAGCTTACTTTGTTTGGTGGATACACTATTGTCGCTCGGCTTCTTTGACTCTTGTCTGATGTTGTGCCAGCTACTCCTGTTGAGATTATTCCGGATGTGAGGAAGACGTTTGAGGTTGAGGTGACCACCGCAGAGACTAGAACATGGGAGAAGATGATAATTGGTGTGGACTGCAGGCAAGATGAGACACGTCTGTCTGAAATTAGAACTAGCGAAATTGCATCACCGTCGGAGAGAGGAGGAGGAGGAGGAGGAGGAGGAGGAGGAGATGATTGGTTTGCCCTGTTCGACATCATCCGCGAAAAACCTGTTGTCGGACCGTCAGGTACCTTTCATTTACAAAGCGTACATACTCTGTGCTAAACGGCTCCGTTGAGTGGTGACTCATAAGCTGGACTGCACACACACACACACACACACCGGCTGCTTTCAACCTTATATAGCTCGAGCAAAGATTACTTCTAGATGTATTTACCCCTATTTCTCTATGTTAGTTGCTGTGGTTGAGCATGTGGTGGATGTGGTGGCAGCCACTGAACCAAAACCAAAATTCATCGTGGAAGACATGAGGCCCCCTGTGGAGTTGTTGGAGATTGAACCGTCACATCCGACACCGGTGGATGATGACTGGTTTGTGCTGCTAGATGTTGCAGCAAAAGTACCAGGTATTCTGCTGTTTGTGTGTGACTGGAATCAGACAGAATAACATTATGTCTGTGTGTGTGTGTGTGTGTGTGTGTGTGTGTGTGTGTGTGTGTGTGTTACCGTTTTATTACATATCTCTACCTGTTCAGTAGAAGTGGAATTGTGTTCTGACTGATAAGGCTTTGTGTGTATTCTACGCTAGCGGCTGTGGACGAACGTATCGGTACACGCCCTGAAGTAAGAACAGATAAAGAGTTTGCAGCCAATAAGCAGAGAATCACTCTAGTGGAGGAGAAGTGGCAGCAGGAGAAGGCGGTACAGCAGAAACCGCCTCCAGCCGTGAGAGAGGTAGAAGATGATTGGTTTATTCTCTTGGATGTGGCCACTAAGAAATCAGGTATAATACAAATGATTTTTACATAGATTTAGCGGGGCAGTCTATTTCGCTATGCATGCAGATGTCGTTATATTTTGTACTTTATTTCAATATTAATACCGGGTTGTGTGTCTGTGCTAGTCGTTGTCCCCGAGCGCATCCACTTCCCAGCGGAGGAGAGAATTCCAACAGCTGTGGCCAAAACAAGGATCGCTGTTTCTGAGAGGAGTTCACAGTTTGAGAAGCGGATGCTGGAGGAAAGACGTCCGCTCACACAAACGCACGTCAATGATGATTGGTTTGTTCTTCTAGATGTTGGCCTCAAAGAGTCAGGTATTTCTCACCTTTTTTTTTTTTTTTTTTTTTTGATTTTGCAGATGAACAGCTCACACGCGGTCACGCTTTCTTCACTCCATGAAAAACACTTCGCAACATTTGCAGCCCGTTTACAGGATACGCTGACTTTTCTTTACAAGAGGAACTGTCCACAGACGGCAACGCACATTCTCCATCATTCAAGGACCTCTGATCGTGCTTCGAATATTGAAGAAATAACGCTTTCTTAACCTCAGCATTTCACCAGTTCAACCACTTTGAGCTTTACAGCCTAACGTCATCTAACTTTGCATCTGTCGTCGGATCGCTACAAGAACTAATCCGTGCTTTTGCTCTCATCCCACTTTGTGGACATTCGCTTCTGACCCACCTCCGATTTTGTCGTGTGCTAAACGAGACTAAACGGAGCATATGAGGTACAGTATACCCGTACAGTGTGTGCACATATCTGATCACATCGAGGCTTAACACTGTAAGTATGACGTGGCCGCTTGCTGAGATGCGCTATTGTATGTTACTGTATTTAAAATGCACTGTTGTACTGTGCATTTGACTCACTTAGGGGATTCGATCATGTCCGATGTGGACGCAGTCTTATCCCTCCGTAACGCATTGTGCTAAAACACATATCCTTTTGTTAACGTTTGCGTTTTGTCTGTGTTTGGTCTAGCGGTGAGCACACAGAGGGGTGCCCGTCCCGTCAGCGCTCCGGTCTTCTCCCAGGCTGCTCTAGCCGAGGCAGGGATCCCTATGGCCCCTTTCGATCTGCCCCAGACCTCCACTCCGATCAAGACCGGCCGCAAAGAGGAAAGAAAGCTCGAGGTCACTGTAGAAGCCGTGGAGCCCTCAAAAATGGAGGCCATGGCTGAGGTCAAGGTATTGAATTTCACTCCTGTCACTGTTTTACATGTTTGTGATGTAATTCAATCTAAATGGTTAAGTGCAGGAACAATGTAGCATCATATACAGTATGTGTGTGTGTGGGTAACCATATATGCCTTACAGAACAGCTGGTTCCTTTTTAAAAGTCAACAAATTATTCCTGATTTGTCCTCATAGCTATTGCCTGGGAATTGGGATATTGTAGGTGATGATACTATAAAATATGAAGACACACTTTTTTTAAATGTAAATGCCTCATAGTCTTGATTAATCAAAGTAGCACGCAGAGCTGGTTCTCTGTGTCTGAGTGTGAACTGTGTCTCTCTTGCTGCTGTAGCCAGCAGTTTGGAGGGACCAGAGACAAGTAGACTCTTCACTGATGCCCACCGTCAATGGGGACATTCAGGTGAGTGTCGGCCGCTGTGGGCTCCTGCATGTCGGGCCCTCGAGACGGCTTGTTTCCACTATGGCTTGAGATGTGAGTGTTGGAAGCCAACAAGCTGAGGATTGCTAACATGTGTCCCCTCTCTCCTCCCCCCCCGGGGTAGCACAAGTCTGAGGTGACGAGCACGAAGGTGGTGCGAATGCGAAAGGTCAGATTCTTAGCCCGGTATTCCGTAGCCATCTCTCCACCTCCATTCTGACAATATCGAGCTCCTCATCCCAAAAAAAAAGACCAATCTCACCCTCTTCTCATGTTGTGCTTCCATTCAGTCTTTAATGCAATCCGCATCAGGTTTCGATGCACATGCAGTAAATGTTACGAGGTAGAAAGAATGGAAGAATAGATGGAATATGTAAACAGAGAGTAACTGGTGAGAATAGAATAATGTATGTTTTTTACACATATTAGCTGTTTGAAAGTTTACAAGGCACTCATTTCCTCTCATTGCTTGCTGTTGTTGTAAACCCTGGAATGCACACATGCATGATTATAGATTTGTGCACCTTTACTAAAACGAAGCATGATAACTTTCTTTATTTTCTCCTCATTATGAAACTAGGGTTCTTAAGTCGGTCCTCTACATTCTTAGGTTGTCTTTGTCTTTCGTATTAACACTGTAGTGAATTCTTTTAGTATGCATGTCCATCGTGTGGCAGTTTATTGCCAGCACACTGAAACAAACCCACATTTCTTTTGTTCTTTTTATTTTTCACAGAAAAGAGCTAAGAGAATTGAGGGTGACTCAATTTATATCAGACATAGCCTTTTAATGTTGGAGGTTGGTATCCCTTCTGGAGACGTCGGTCTCTTTCTGTGTGCTCTTGCTCTTTGGCACAGCGGCTACTGTTTGACATCACGCTTGCATGTGGCATGATTCGCACTTCTTTGCATCAGCGTAAATGATTGGCTGCAGATTAAATGATAAATGTCTGTGTGTGTGTGTGTGTGTGTGTGTTGCAACATAACTAATCCAATTGTTTCAGGAGAGTGCTGTTGAATTCACAACAAAGAAGTAGTTTGTTCTGACACCTACATTGGTACTCAAACTCCTCAAGGAGGCTGTACTCCAAAACATCCTTTATCTCTCACTGTTCACAAGCAGCTCCAGTTCTATTTTTTTCCAGATCACCAGTATTCTCCTGTTCCTGCTTCTGCTCTTTTACCTCCGTCTCATTGTCTTAACCTGCCAGAAATGCAATTTCTCCGCAGTTGTGCAACTTACATCTTTGACCATAGAAATAAAGATTAAAGTAATTCTACATCTTTGCCAAAGGGGATGGCATTTGGAGAAACACTTATCATTAAGCTGCTCTTTAGCACCACAGTAAGTTCAGATGAACACATCTGTTCATTGGCTAGATCATCGTATGTTTGGTCAAATGGGAGTCAATAGTTTGCAGATGTAAGTAAAGATCAACTTGGTGCTAAATGTTGCCAAATGAGTGCTGCTACTGCTCTTGTTCATTTGTGTCAAATGAACAGGTTTCCATTCATACTAAGGCTTCATCTTTGATCATGTCTTCCATTATCGCCTCTCCTGCTCTGTGATCTGCAGCCTGTTTTCACTGCAAAACCTAATGCTATGAATAGACCATTAATGCGGCGTTGTGTAATTATAGCTCCTGCCCATCCAACCCCCCCCCCCCCCCCAAAAAAAAATAATGGACGTTGATAAATCATGGCAATGACTCCTGTGAGTCTGGTCTCATGAATCAGCTGCCACACTTCACTGAAAATCTATCGAGAATCCACAGTTTGATCATTTCGATGACTCACCCCTTTTCATTTCCTTTAGAATCCCTAATTAAGCCTGCTTCTGCTTGTTTATTTGATCAGCAATAAGTCAACACAATCTGTACAGAAAAAACACAACATCATCTGACTGTCACTTTTCTTTGTTCTCTCCTGTTTGTTACTCTCTCCCAACCTCGGTCTTATCCTTCATCTTCCCTTTCCCATCCAACTTTCTATCTTCACTTCTTTTTTCTTTCCTCCCTTTTTATTGTTTTCCTGTTCCCATTTCCCTGGCCCGCTCTTCCCCCCCCTCCCTCCCTCTCTCTCTCCACACTGTCTTTCCCCCTGGACTTGGCTCCCTGTAGGACTTTGATAAGCCCCAGGAGGAGCTGCTCAGGCATCATGCCAGCATCAGCGTGCTGAAGAGGAACTTCATGGAAGCCGCCCCGGAGAGCAGGCCCAGTGAGTGGGACAAGCGTCTGTCCACGCACTCTCCGTTCCGCACCCTGGGTATCAATGGTCAGCCTCTGCCCGGTGCTGATGGGGTAAGTCTCCCACAGGAACCCCCCCCCCCCCCCTCGCCTCCAAATTCCTTTTTTTAACCTAAGTCTGCCAGTTCAGGAATTGGAGCAAACGAAGCACAAAGTTTCATTTATATTGAATTCCTGAATGGACTTGGTTAAAGCTGTATTTATACTTGCATCATCACATGTGTTTTCCATGGAGATGATTGTGCTTGATTGGAAAACATGGCCGCGCTAGTGTGAGCAGTGCTCATAGATTTGTAGCGGAACAGAAGAACCTGAAATTCTTGCTGACGTCTTGTGTCGAAAGAAAATAGTTTTCCCCTCTGTTGGATTCTTCTCCGATATGATGAATATATTCACACAAAAGATGTTGATGAAAGAAGGGATCAGGCTCTTCCAGTTGTCCATCCTGGTTCTCTTACACTCTTTGAGTGTAATGGGTTACGTGTGCATGTACGGACCCATTCAAGGAGACAGCATGTGGTGTGCCACACGTGCATGTGTATGAAGAATGCAGTGTGACTTGTTGAATAGGGTCTGTAGTGTTGCTCTGTCACTTAAAAGACTCGTGTGTGTGTGTGTGTGTGTGTGTGTGTGTGTGTGTGTGTGTGTGTG